TCGCCTCCCTTGGCTCAGAAATGTGGGCCAAATGCTTCCACACAGCAGCTTGATGACTGTCTCCACTTGGATAGGGAGGGAAAGGGGTTGGACAGGAACCCAAGAGGACTTAGGGAAACTCTGTCTTCACGATGGGAACTTCGGCGGAGGGAAATAAGCGTCCCCCCTCATGATGCCAAGAGCTGCTGAGAGAAGGACCAACCCAGCACTGCTGAATGAATATGGAATTGGATAAGGGTAGATTACATTTCCAGGAGCCTCAGAGTGTTGAACACAAAGCTGCAGTCCCCGAGCATGTGATTTTTCTCACTGAACCAGCTTGTTGTTTTTTTTTTCCTTTTTCATCCACATAAGTAAAATGTTTATTTTTCAAACTTTGCCTGACGTGACAGATGCCTGCAACGTGTCTAAGTCAATTTCATGGATTCTAGAGCAACAGAACGTGAATGCCAGAAAGGGTCTCCTGGGTCATGAAATCTAATCTTGTTCCTTATTTTTACGGACAACACGAGATCCAGAGAGATTAAGTGACTTAATCAAGATCACAGGCCATTTGTGTCCCTCTCCTAACTATTTGTAGTCTATGACCAGAAACGTTTCCAACTATTACCAAGTTGATACATCAGAGAAATTCACAATTTCTATGAAATCTGTTCTGTCTTCATAAAAGTCATCCTTCTGTCTCCTAAAAAAAAATCCATTTATCAGTTTTTCTTACAGCAGAATAACCTCTGAATTTGTTTAGCATTCAGTCTGTGGTTGACTATTCTAATTCTAATAAATGTCTCCTTTTTAATGTTCTCTTTCCTAATTAACAAAGTGCCAAGTAGAAAGAGATAAAGTTATGCACTCTAATTACAATAACCTCAGGCTACAGGGAGAATTCTTATCACTAGATTAGACTGTACCTTCTGTGCTCACTTAAAAAAAAACAAAAACATAGCACTGGTAAAAATTTCCTCTAAGCTGTGGATTTGAGACCCAGGGTGGTGAGGCTATCACCCACTACCAACAGGAAGAAAGGACAGTGAGCTCGAATTCCAGGTTTCTTCAAGTTCATGCTATCTCTGGTCCGTTTTTGTTCATTATCTTCTTATTAAAAACAGAAAATGACTATTAGGCTGGATTCTTATGAGACATAGGGAGCTATGGATGTAAAGAGGTCTAAAATAGGGTCCTTGTTGTTCTCACAGGGTTCCTATTAGGTTGGTAAATATGAGGGCAGTATCCTAAGCCCAAGCGTCCAGGAAGAGTAAGTGCCATCCTAACACGGCATTTACATCCCCGAACAAGGTTTGTTTCATGGAGCTGTGGAAGCTGTTTCCAAGCTCACAATTGGGGGCATACACTCATGGGTGGGCAGCTGCATCCAGGAGAAGGTGAAGGATGGCCTACAGGTCTTGAAGGCTCCATGGTTTTTAATGCCACCTTTTTCCTCAGAAGACTGTGATGTTCTCTTTTTAAAATGTCACTTGATTTTGATCTTTCAATGACACATTTTCAACTCTGTCTCCATAGAATGCAGGCTAACTGGAAGAATGGGCAGGGTCTACCTAAGGAGATGGGAGGGGGACTAGATGGCAGTGTGGAGAAAGCATTAACCCACCATGTTGGGGTAGAGAAATAGATGTACTCAGGAGGCAACTGCAGACCAGTTGGACCATAATATGGCTTTCAAAGAGAAAAAAAAAAGAAGCCAGAAACACATTTTGGAGTCAGATCCTAAGTAGCATAGTATAGTCAACAGAGAAACCAAGGATAAATTTTAACCCTGTTGTTTGCTATCTGTGTGCCTTTACTGAGTTATTTAATCTTTTTCTAAGTTTATATCTCCACATTGTAAATATGTCAGTAACAATACCAATTTAAAAGGATTTTGTGAGGATTCACAGAAACAGTGTATGAAAATCTTCCAGCACACTGAAAATAATCAATGTATGCTAAATTTCAATCCAGGTCTTTTACAACCTGCACAGTGTCTTCTGTGGGCAACTGAGAGTTAAGGAGTCAGACAGACCTTGGCACTGAGGTCGCCTGGGCCAGTTTCAAAGTCTTTGATGTAAAGCAAGTTACTCAGTCTCCCTTAGCTTTAGTTTAGTTATGTACAAGATGGGAAAAATCATATTTACCTTGAAAGATTATTGCAAAATTTAGAAATGTATTATGTTAAGTTCCTAATGTACCTGGTAAGGAGGGAAAGACAGTAGGTTTCAATTAAAAAGATGATGGGGAAAGAATGAGCCAAAAAGAGGAGTTGTTATCATGGAGATCCTCGAATTCTTGACCAAAGACCCTAGAACCTATCTTATAGGTAGTAGGGTGTTTTCTCAGATAGCATACCAGAAGATGAAGATGAAGAGAATCTTGACCTTGATGAAAATCTGTAGGAGAATGTCAGGATTGTGCACAGGGCCAAGAGAACACCCAGGAGATAGAGAGACCAACCTACTGCTGAAAAAAGCCGGTTTCTTTATGTATGTGTTAGATAATTCTTCCACTACCGAGTGGGAGTGGATTCTTTCCTCTGAAATCCAAGAACTCTGAATACATGAGAGACAGAAATGGAGAACCAGGAAGAGAGAGAGATGTAGAAAATGAGAGAGACCAGGAAAAAGGTAAAAAAGATACCAAGATGAGGAGAGAGAGGAGGAAGCTATTCTCAAGGGGTTTCTTGCTTTTTGTTTAAAGACATCTGGTGCACAGCTGTGCTGCATGCAGGTGGCTGAGACGACACACATCCAGGTATAAATCTGGCATCGAAAAACTTCAATTTTCAGCTGACAGATGGGATATTTTAAATAAAACGGGGAATTACTGGGGAGGGTATGAGAACATCATCTCCCCTGTGTTTTCCCACCTCCACCAAGATGTTCCTGAACAACAAGAACAGCTCACTCCACCCTGGCACCAAATAAATCATCAGCTGACCATGCTTCTGCCTTTTTGTCCAGGAGACACCTGCTTAGCACCATGACCCTTAACATTCTGTCTTTTCCTTAAGTTCCTTTTTCAATCTGCTTGCTGTTTTGCTTAGAAATGTGCTAT